CCCCCCCCCCTAAGTATCTTTATCCCGTTTGTACATATATTAGTGCCTCAAAGTAACTTCTCCCTTACAGCAATATTCTCCTTCAGTCTCCTAGGAGGCCCTAGCTTATTAGTTTAACAAAAGTAAGGCGCCTCTCTTATCTGTACAAAGGATTACGATAAATCGGTTTATAACGATGGGCCCCCTGTGATTAGTAATATCGTTATAGCCCTGTTTGACTGCAATTGTGTGTTTCCCGATGTTCAGGTAGACGGAGTTCAGACAGTCTCGTTTTAGGGTAGTCAAGTTTTCCAACATCGGGGGAAATGGGAGCTGCCATCTATTCAGAGGCAACAAGGCTGGCTAAGAATGCGAAGTTTACCTTATAGCTAATATTGGATAAAGCGGAAGGTAATGCAGTATCAATTAACATGGTGAGTTTTCATAGTTATCGTCGGGGATGCAAGTTTATATCTCAACACGTGAAAGCCTTGTCAGCGTTCGTTTATTTTTCTGGACGGAGGTATTCAAGCCGCTTAACAAGGGCAGGACATGCTTGAATTAGGACCCCGAGGCGAGAATAAGGATTAATCAGTTTTGTGAATCAGTGATCGATAGCATTAACTTTTATGTATGGTAAAATGATGATCTGATTTAGTAGTCCTTTGAAGAACTCATGAAAGATAAACAACTTAGCGACCCAGGTGGCCTAGACGCTATACTACAGGGGCAGAAGGGTTAGTGACCCACTGATGAGACCGTTTCCAGGCCCCAGATACAGGAAAAATAGAACACGATGCGATCAACGGCTGATGACCGGGCCTACATGTCTCTCAGAGTTTATCAAGCTTATCGAATGAATCGGGAAATCACTATATGTTTCAAAATAGGCAGTAGGACTTGGACTCTTCTGTGCTAACGTGAGGTAATTTGCTGGTCCAAGTCAGTGCGGGATCACCCAAATCACTCACGCCTTTTCTCAGCGGCGAGATTGGTTCGTCTGTCACCACTGAGACAGGCAGTGCGATAACAGGTGTCAACTTCACTTTTATGGGTTCAGCAACGCGGACAGTCGCAATTGGGGCCACCATCGCATATTGTACAGGGACAGCCCCTTCCACGAATGTTGTTAGTTTTTCGCCGCTAAGATTGTTAGTGGACTCATCCAGCAACACATTCCTCACTTGAAGCTTCTCAACACCCGTCAATTCTGCCATTGCCACCCTCGGGGAAAAGTCTTTGAGAGTACTGGTGGCCATCGGCGTGGTCTGCCACGACCGAGATTTGCCCAGTTTTTCTGATTCGGATGGGTCTCCATGCCGCGTATTGCGCAAATGTGCTTCTAGCCACTGAACTTCAATTTCTTGTTGAGCATGGGTTTCTGGAGAGCGATGTGACGAATACCATGTCTCAACGCCATTCACGTCTGGCAAGGAATTCCTTCTGAGACATCTCAACCTTAATCACGAGCAAAATAACTGATACGGGCTCTTGTGAAACAGGGCTTACGTTGTTGATGTCTCAAATGTCACCTCCCCCGGGCGATTCTGAATAAGCTCCTCACGCTACCAAACGCCTCCCTTCTCTGGACATTCTCTAGTCTGTAGAACTAAGTAATAAAGTTTGTATGAGGCTTTATAATATTCTCCGAACATATCAGATTAGCAATAACATTAGATTCCCTTGGACTGATCTCCCTGTTTTGACGCGACGTCATAAGTAATGACACTTCTGACATATGATGATAGAATGGTCTCTCTAACTGTAATGTCTCATGCGCCATTTAGCAGAAGAGTGTCTGTCACTGAAGATATCAAATTTCGGCGAACAATCGAAGATCGGACCACTGACCTTGGCGCGGATTCAAAACCCCGTGTAGACATTCCTTCTTGACAAAGGTGAACATTTCATTGAACGCGCTATCACAGGCTGTTTAGTGTCTAACACGTGATAACACCAGCATGCCTTGCTATGAAAATTAGCTCATGCCGGATGCTCCAAATACCCTACGGCCGCAGGTCATACCCGCATCTTGAGTCAGAGAACGAGAGTCGGATTGTCTCGCAATCACCCTGCAGACGTCATCTTTAAAGCCAAGAATGCATGTAGTACTGTTCCGTTTGACCTCAAGTCTCGACGGTTCAAGTGACCATTGGCAGGGCCCTTAGCACGGTCATCAACTGATTGGAAGCAGGGAGTTTAGAATATTCACTGCCAAGTAATAGTTTCTCTTGGCTTCAGCTTTATCACATACCAGCCAGATTATATCCCATAATTAAAGTTTTAAAGTTTAGCGGCGAGGAAAATAGTGACACTCAAGACGACGAGATGCAATTTTTTAGCCTGAGTCTTCTGTTGCGCCAAAACAGGGGGTGACCTCCTTAGAAAGTGAGAGCAGCCCTTAGCTAGCGGTAAGCTAACGCTATTACTGCTAGCTCCAGGGGAGAACCTCTGATTGTTGACCATTAAACACTCTGTATCTTCAATATTTGGGCGGGCCAATTTAATGAGCGATTATCTCCGATCCACGCACGATCCACAACGAGGCTAGAGCAAGAAATGCTTTTGCAGGAATTCGCCTGAATCCCCTTTTTACTTGGCGCAACGCGGCCTCGTGAACTTGAATCTTTAAAACGTGGTTGATGGATCTGCTCATGAGCAACCAACAAAACCATTTTGTTGTAAGCCGTACGACAAGATGAATAAATCATGGAGCAGATTGATACGCGTCGTTTTTGCAACTCTTTTCTTAGCCCTGGTGGCGTTCAAATCTCTTTTCCCTGGAGATGATCCTTATCGCTGTCGCGCGGTTCAGAAAACAGGTCGATGGATTGACCCGATTCGCGATGAGCAGGGGAACCGGGATCCATTCAAGCAATGGCAGCCTGATGGATGTATCCTCAATCACTATCATTCACAGGATATCCGCAGATGTACTGAGGGTCGTCCAATTGTCCTCGTTGGTGACTCGACATCTAAGAACGTTGGTCTCGCCATGGGCAGTCTAGTAAGCCATCGCAAGAGACTTCAAATTAAAGTGATTTGACTGATAAGACCATAGCTCGATAATAAGCAGTACAAAAAGGATGAAGCAGCCAGGTTGTTCAGCAAGACGACATCCTACAACATGACATATCACGGCCAGAGGATTGAACGTGTCGCCAACGTCTATCTCTCATCGCATGGTGTTCCAGGTCGAGAACAATTTGTCAGCCATCTCGAAACTTACGCAGGGGAAAAGACAAACCCTCCATCCATTGAAGACCAAAAAGGCCCGGCATTGATCTATATAGCTGCAGGCGCATGGTATACCCATCCACACTATGGAGGTATTGGCTCTACCGCCCTTGATCCCTGGGACGATCGTTTCTCGGCATATCAGGATCACTTATCAAAAGTTGACAAATTCATCGGCAATAATACACCACATCAAGATTGGTTCAGCGCCCCGATGGATCCACGAGATGGTATCGGAAACCAAATCTTTTACGCACCACCCGCTGGGCCGCGATACCTGGGCAATGATACCAAAATGGTTCTCGACAGAGGTCGCCGAGCGGAAGAGGTCATCGAGATGCAAGACTGGCTTTTGGAAAAGGATGATGACTTCAATATTCCGTTCGTCTGGTCTATTGCCAACCTTGTCGAAGGTCAAGACAAAGTCTGGCGTGATCCCCTTCGCACCGGCTTTCACGTCAAGTTTCAAGTCGCAGAGCTTCGAGCCAATATTCTTCTCAATATGAGATGCAATGCCAAATTGGACCGGATGAAGCCGTATCCCTATTCACGGACGTGCTGTACCGACTACGGCGTCAAGCCAATGGTTCAGCTTTCCGTGGTGGCATTTGGTATTGTGTACCTAACTGCTTGTATCATTTGCGAGTTCCTGGATATGTGTGCCGACCGAAGTGCCGATCAGCCTCGCTTCAAGCTCCTCAACATGCAAGCCGGATGTCTCGTACTAGCACTTCTGATGTGTTACTACGCTGATCGAACCCAGATGATGGCAAAGGGTAGCAAACTTTGGCAAATGAAAGACTTTGTCGCGCTTTGCATTCTTTGCATCGCAATCATGTTGGCCACTATTCGTCGCATCAAGTCGCCTATTTCAGAGGACCTCTCAGTATACATGCAAGAGTCAGACCAACCATTCCTCTCACGGGATCAGACCGATGAGTGGAAAGGATGGATGCAGTCCTTCATCCTTATCTATCGCTGGACCGGTGCCCATGATGGTTCAATCTACGTCCTCATCCGTGTCTGCGTTGCGGCATATCTCTTCCAAACAGGCTACGGACATACAGTTTATTTCCTGAATAAGAACGACTTCTCCTTTAATCGTGTCGCAGCCACGTTACTACGCCTCAACATGCTCAGCTGTTGTCTCGCGTACTTCATGGATACAGACTACATGTTCTACTACTTCTCCCCGCTCGTGTCATTCTGGTTCCTTGTCGTTTACGCGACAATGGCGGTTCGGCCAAGGCACAATAGCGATTTGCAGATCATGCTGGCCAAGATCTGCATGTCTTGTCTCATTGTATCGATGATATTCATGGGGACGCCTCTTACGCGTTGGGTCTTTGGTATTCTCAACACTGTTTTCAAGATCCAGTGGAGTCATGAGGAATGGTATCGCCGCGTTACACTCGACATGTTCATCGTCCACGCTGGTATGCTGACAGCCGTTGCCAACCGGCACTTGAAGATGCCTATTCATTTAGGGCTTCGTGTAACACTTGCTCTGGCTGGCTTCTTCGCCACGATACATTATTTCTATGCGACCTCAGGTCTTCTCATAGATGCGTACTCGAAATGGCATCCGTATGTATCGCTTGTACCAGTCATGGGTTTCGTCGCCATGCGCAATGTCTCGGACCCAGTCCGCAACTATCACTCCAAAGCTATGGCTTGGTTAGGCCGTTGTTCCTTGGAGACCTACATCCTCCAGTTTCACATTCTTCTCGCAGCCGATACCGAGGGTGTTCTCATTGTCGATGGCCTATTTGGCGATGGATCACTCCTGGGAGACCGATGGAGGACTTTGGTGATCATCCTGCCAGTTTTCCTATGGATCAGTCACGCGGTCGCTGGTTCAACTCGATACATCGTCAAGATGATTATGCATCAAGGCACAGAAGATGAGAAGTTGGGCAGACCATCTTTTTGGGCTTGGCTGGAGTATATCTCAGGCTTGTATGACCTCTCATCCCCCAAAATAAGGCTTATTTGCATTTTATTAGTTATGTGGTTGCTCAATCTGATGAGCCCAGGACATGAGATTCCGACGGTGTTTGATGGTGGACATTCAGTGGTTGTGGCGCCAAAATTCCCACTGGAGTTTCCGTATCCAGTGGCGAACAGGACTGTATGACAAAGGCTTAGCCTGTAGTTCGGAGTACCAAATGGAGTTATTACGGAGTTTATATAGATATGTATAGAATGCAGTCGCACGACATGGTCAATTGAATAAAGAGCCTTTTTGCTGCCTTCAGAAGCTGTCGGTGCTGTAGATCCCGAGTTCGCCACATCTTGGCTCCGATAAACACCCTGGCGAGTGAGTTGAGTTAGCGCAATCCCCCGCCATTTCTCGCCGAATGAGTCAAGAAGAGTTTTTTTATGCGCCCTCCGAGCCAATTCTCGGCTCTTCAATTGATCCTTTCAATTGCACAACCTCAGAAAGCTGAGGTGTCAATTCAATTCAGTTTAATCAACAATGGCCACGTCCAGGTCCTATCCTTCGCAGGCTCTTGAGCTCGAGACTCTCGGCCTCACTCATGAGACTGGTGCAACGCCGAAGCAGCCAAACCCGGTGTTATCAACAACGGGGCGTCGGCTTGGATCGCGCAATGACCATGAGGACGAGCACGACAATTTCACTGGTTCAGGCGATGAGTCTGCACCCCCGAGGGCCGCTCTCGTTGTAGAGAAGTGGAATGAACCCATGGGCAATGCCTTTCGAGTCGGCGCTGTCTATTGGAGTCTTTTTGTCTCGGGCGCCAACGATGCAGCATACGGAGCTTTGATCCCTTATCTCGAGACCTACTATGAGCTCTCTTACCTCGTCGTCTCACTCATCTTCCTCTCACCATTCGTCGGATTCATCGTTTCGGCTGCCGTCAACAACTATCTTCACATGAACATCGGTCAGCGATGGATCGCCTTCATGTGCGGAGGATGCCACGTCTTGACATATCTTATCTTAGCGCAGCATCCGCCTTATCCTGTTCTCGTCTTGGCATATGTCCTTGCAGGCCTGGGTAATGGAATCGGACTTGCTGCTTGGAACTCGTACATCGGCAATTTGGCGAGGTCTAATGAGTTGCTGGGTTTTATGCATGCGAGCTATGGGCTTGGAGGAACTGTGAGCCCTCTTATTGCGACTAGCATGATCACCCAGGCGAACCTTGGGTGGTACGACTTTTACTATGTGCTTGTAAGTTCTTCACACCAATCCCCTCATATAAGGTTACTGATGAATATTCTAGCTGGGCATGGCTGTTCTTGAGACCGCAACTCTCACCTACTCCTTCTGGCCCAAGACAGCTCAGAAGTATCGCGAGGCTGTTCATACCGAGGGCACTCGCAACGAAGGCACGCGAGCCGCTCTCTTCGTTAAGCCTCATGCTCGCGTTGTTTGGCTTTGTGCCTTCTTCCTTCTCGGTTACGTTGGTACCGAAGTCGCTCTCGGCGGCTGGGTCGTGCAATTCATGTTGCGTGTTCGTAACGCTGACCCTTTCGATGCCGGAATGACAGCCGTCGGCTTCTGGCTGGGCATTACCATCGGACGTCTGGTTTTGGGCATGGTGATTCCCAAGATCGGTGTCAAATTGTCACTCATGATCTTCATTCCAATTACCATGGGCCTACAGCTCATCTTCTGGCTCGTCCCGCAATTCCACGTCTCAGCCGTAGCAGTTTCGCTGCAGGGCTTCTTCTTGGGACCCATGTTTCCCTGTGTCATTGTGGCCCTTACAATGCTTCTTCCGCGACATCTCCACGTCAGCGCAATTGGATTCGCTGCTGCGTTTGGTGGAAGCGGCGCGGCTGTGCTGCCCTTTGCGGTTGGTGCGATTGCGCAGGCTAAGGGAGTGCAGGTTCTTCAGCCAATTATTCTCGCTATTCTAGCTGTGCTGTTCGTAATCTGGCTTGGCCTACCCAAGATCGAGAAGCGAAAGGATTGAGATGGTCAATGTTGCTGAGAGATATCGCGTTCGCAGGACGGTAAAGATCAGAAGCCGGTGCCACTTCCATGTGCAAGTTTAAATTTGGCGAATGTTTCTATGTACAGCCGTGTTTGTTGGTGTTCTTTACCTTTGTGCGCTGGGGGCCGAAGCCTATTTTAACCTCCCACAACCTTATTATAGTTTCTATGTACAGTAAGATAGGTAATTATATTAGATCCTCGCGTTCATGAAACCTACTCGGACCAATACGGATCCTTCTAGATAGTCAAAAGACTATCGGAAGCTTTCCCCGAGTCGCGACTACTAAGCGTTCACTCCAGATATCGATCTGAGGTGACCAATAGCGCCACCCTCCCCACCGCCTGCTTCTACACAGCGGAGGGGAAAAGCCAGAGTCTGACCCATTGCCACAGAGGATGAAAGAAGACATCGAGTGGGATAATAATGAATGGGACACTGATTGAGATACTCATACTAGCTTCCCAGGGACAAGTAGTCTCAACTAAAGCGATAGGCGTTCTCCGCGATCTTAGGTTCTATACCATGATGAAACCGTTACGTGCAAATCCTGACGTATCACAGGACCCTAGAGGCTTGTACAGGCTTCGAAGAATCTGTCAAATCGTAGCAAAATCAATCTCATAGGCTCATCAATGATAAGGACCTGTTGGTATCAAACTACTATGAGGCAATGCGAAACACCGGTAGCAGTACAATATGTAACCAAATAAGATTCACATCGGAGCTTTGATTGTCCACGTAACTCGCATATATTTGGTTCTTATTCCGATAAAGTTTTATGATCAAATCTTACCTCGTCAACTTCACTTCAGGTTGGACCCTGTGGCCGACTCTATGGCTATTGCCCTAAACCTTACTGCTATTTCCATTCGTTCAAAGTCAACAAGAAAATCAGATTTGACTATAAAGACCAATCCTGGTTGTGATCCAGAGTTTACTCGCGACCCATTCTTTGGGTTCAAATCATTAGGGTTCCGTGGTCAGTAAAAGTAAGATTCGTAGAGTAACATGAAGTCCAATATAAGCATAATTCCATGCTCTATAAAATGACCTCTAATTCTCTCACATCACAATTATTTGGCTTAACCTCTTAGAATAACCGCCATCAGAGGAGCCGTCCCTGCCTGCCAACAAGCACTACCGAAAATGGACAGCTTTTCTAACCTCCCCCCTGAGCTGAGGATCAGAATCTTCTCTCAGTTCTTGTCAGCATCGACAATTTTTCGACTCATACAAGCATCGCCAATCATGTTCTCTCAGTACAAGGCATCCAAAACAACTATAAGACGGAATTATGTTGTCAACCTACTCAACGGAGTTCGGCATGAAGGGCTCCTACAGGACGCCTTGGGCCTGCTTTATCTGGATTTCGCCGACAATCGACCTGACAACCACGTCATGAAATACATCATCAGGCAGTGGGACTTGAAGGCATTACCTGATCCTTTTGAACAAAAGGATCAGGCTACCATTTCCAAGCTTTATAAACTTTTCTCCTCTATGAGTATGTTTGTGGAGGACTATATCAGCAAAGCCACTTCCCCAAACCCACCTCAAGCCTACCTCTGTCTTCCTCAGATCGCCGACCCAAACAAAGGGCTCTACTACAAGGAGCACAGCTTTAGTCCAAGGCATGTCACTTTAGATGAGCTCACCTTACCAGAATGTCATTTTCTTATGTGGGCATTTATCAAATACGATATCATCTTCAAGATTCAGGGACCTAAAGCCGCATTGGTAATAGACGACAACGAACAAAGTGCTATTTCTAAGAAAGAATATGAGGCTCTCACTGACTGCGAGCACGAAGCACTTCATTCTGTTCTTCAGTATGTCGATGCTGTATATGGGGCTCTTTTTACAATGTCTACACGTCGCTCAAGCAGACATACCTCCAGCGCTTTACAAGACAAGCCCGCCAATCCGGTAGCCCTGTTATACCCAGATAACCTTTATTTCAACCCAATACGAGCCTTCGATGATATGATGCTTCCATCACAAAATGTTCCTACAATGCTAGGATATGCTCATGATGTATCAGACCACGGTTTTGATCTACTTAGAGCTCTCGTACTGTTTGCAAACACGACAAAGCCCGAAGATGTACGAAGCTGGTTTTATACCATATTTTCCCATTGGCCGAGATCGCGATATCGTCGGCCTCGCAACCATCGCTTCGCCTTCCTTAGCAGAAGCTGCAGAAGGTCGATCAATGATCGAGATGGCTCGCTGAGCTCTCTCTTAGTGCAGAGATTGTCTCCGACTCACGCATCGGATTCCGTCACATACCCCCTTTCGTCATGGGTTATGCAACGTAACATATTTAGACAACGAGCGTGGGTTTTTCTGGATGATACTCGACTTTTCCAGATGGGCCTTGGCCACTTTCCGACAATCGAGGAGCTTGGAAAGCAATCAACCCCTGCGCCTGGATTCGAGGAGCGAATGCAACTGCGCCATTTACAACTTTGCCAGTTTCAAAGAGAAGCGGGTATCGAGGATACCCCAAACGAAGGACGGGAGTATATTTTCAGTGCAAACGATGAGGATTCCATTCCTCGCCTTTTCGATCCATCAAACAATAGGGAGGTGACAACATTTTGGCAACACATCTGAACTACCTTGGTTGAATAGGCGAGGTGCATAGATTCTGGCGAGGATAACAGGTTTACGCATTGTTAGTATTCTTTAATGTAGCGTATAATCGCTAAGGCTTTAGTTCAATCTCATAATTTATTATTATACTGTCAGACTTGGCTGTACTGTTTTATGCTTTTTGCTGGAGACGCTGTCATATTTTCTTTTACATGTCTAGGAAGAATATTGTCCTAGTTCACCTGTTAATGAGATGTATAATACTTCGAGATGGCAAGCATGAATCCTGCCTCATATACTGACCCTTTATGGATGATCATTAAGATATAGTCACTTCTGGCAAGGGCTCAACTACTGCTTCTAAGTGTATTCAGTAGCCTAGCCTTGATATGGCTGAGCTGAAATGCAGTTAAGGATCCAAATGCCTTATACAGTATTTATGAATGTAATGTGTTATATTCAAGTCCTCTTTGAATGAAGCGAGAAACTTGATACGTCTTATGCCGAATTTGCGAATCTGGGCTATCGCCGTACCCTTTGTCGAGCTCAATTGCATGGGTAGTTGGCCGACTTAGGCTTTCCATTAGTAAAAGAGAACCAATTCGACAAGGCCTCAGATGCGGTGCAAACTGGCAACATGACAACTCCTGGTGCCGTGACGTTGTACTCCGAGACTAGATCCATACCGTCAACTGTGTTGGAAGGATCAAGCATAGACCATCCGTTAGCGTTTCCGTTACCAGCAAAGCTGTTAACGGCTCTGTTACCAATTATCAGTGAGTTATTCAACATAAACCCAGAGGTCTCGGATATGGGTTCTGCTCACCCGTTCACGATATCTTCCTTGGTCAACCCGCCAAAGGCTGTTTCTGATCCGGTCAGATCGTCGAGTCCTGGCAGACGGCTGAAGAAATTGTCGGTGCATCCAGGATTGAAGCTTCCATGGGACTCGTCGCAGGTCCGAGCTTCCCCTGTGCATCCGATCAAGTAGTACATCTTAGAACCTACGCAGACACCCGATGAGTCGTAGTTCTTGGAGCTCATGTGCTTCACATCGGGCTTATCTCCACAGCCCTGTTCGGAATCAATGATACTGGAAGCACGGTTAGTGAAAAGCCATAATACGCAGAGTGACAACTTACGCTGGGCCAAGTTCGGAAGATGACAGCTGCCAAGCGAGTGGGACCAATTCCGCGAAGAGCGCCTTTGAGACAAGGGCTTGAATAGCATCGACGCCTAGATCTTGATGCTTGGTCTCGAGCATCTGGCCGTCAGTAATGGCGGTAAAGAGTAGATCAGTATTCGCCTCGGAGCCGTTGAAAAGCTGCTCGTTCATGGAGACAATCTCAGCTTGTCAGATTGTAACAATCGCTGTAATAGAGGGAGTCATTCATATAGTATGAAAGCAATAATCGTATGAACTACCTACAATTGAGCCTAGTCGAGATAGAGTTCTCGGCACTAAGGGCGCTGTCACTGCAAGGCTTTAGTCAATGTGTCCCCGAAACGCTGGCAGTATATAGATTTAATTACTCTTTCAAGGTGTCTTTAGCAATATTAATGCTGTTTGTCACCATTGGATTGACCCAATCCTTGACAGTGGCTAATGTGTTGGGGTTGGCTTTGAAGTAAGGCATGCCCTTGAGAGCTACATCTGGTTAACCCATCATAATACCACTCGTGTAATAGGCCAGCACTAACCTGAATTCCACATCGGGGATACCGCGAGGGAAAAGCCAAGACCAATTATGTCGAGAAGGAGCTTGACTGAGAAGCCGCTTGACTTGATGGGGGCAAAGGTGCTGGAGAGCTCCGCAACTTGAGTATTGATGTCGTTCTGGGCTCGGTCGAGTGCGTCCCAAAAGTTGAAGTGAACCTGTAGAGTGATCAGCTTAGTCTCTTAGCATGGTGACGACCAGTAGAGTACATACGCGGTAGATGGACTCCATGGAGTTGATGGCAAAGTAGGCCCCTGGATACGTGACGTCGTTGCATAGCACCACATTAGAGCCGCAGGGGTTGTCGTTCTCAATGGTACCGCAGTCGATACCCTCTGGGCCGTGGAAGAGGTTGCTAAACTATTCAAGAGCGTTAGTTAAGTATTCTGGTTAGCTCGCGATGGAGACTTCGAACCTGCTCTGTAAAGTTCAAGCCGCCAGGGAACGGATTAGCATTCCACTGATCAACACCCCATTTCCAAGCTTGGTCTGCATACACAGAGTCCCAGCGAAACTTTGCATCTTTGGAAGCATCGGTAACTCCAGGGTTAGTACAACATGAGTGAAGTCGTCGCCCGACGCGCTGTTGCCGCCGTCGCCACTAGCATGACAAGTGCCATAGCCACAAGCGCTGTGATCCATTCCAGGCCATTGATTGCAAACTGGATCGGCGTTACCCTTCTTGAATGGGAGAACCTGGTAGTTACCGTTGTAGATGTAGTTGGGACAGCCATCGCTAACGCACATTCCGCCGGTGGCTGTATAGATGACATTGCCACTGGGGTCCTTGACGGTGATGCGTTGAGCGCCAGTTTGAACCTCTCCAGCGCCATAGCCGTAGTTCATGCCAGGGTTCAGAGGCGCTGTGTGCTCAGTAGTTCCAGAAACGGTTACCTTGTAACCAGGTCCGTAGGAGGGATTGAGGATGATAGCGTAGTAGAGATAGTTGACATCATCATCCCATCCGTCTGGTTTGTCGTAGTAGGCATCGTTGCCCTCATATGGACATTCCAAATCCGAAAGCTCGGTTCGATACCACGCAGCACCAACGAGAACATCGCCGTTCATTGGAGTCATCTGGGAAGCTGATTGACCAGTCTTGTAGGCATTGACGAAAGACGAGACGAGAGGTTGCCAGCCTGTATGATCCCAAGTCTCCTGGTTGGCGTAGAAGTATGGTTGGGTGTCATTATTCTGCTCGGTCCAGAGGTTTCCGATGTAGTGTGCTTCGGGACCATCGTTCCACGTCTGAAACTGGACATAATCGGGCTGGGGATCCATGTTGAGGATGTTGACCATACGCTTCGGTAGGTTCAGGTCTCCTTGTCGATAAACGTGCGCCCCATAAGCATTCTTGTATTGGAGTGGACTGAGACCCATCATGTACAGTTTGTCGTGTTTGTGAGCACCAGCAAGAACAGGAACGTCGATCGAGACGTCTCCTGCATACTTACCGCCGTAGCCTTTCCGTTCAGGCCAGGCTGACTCCCAACTAAAGATGCCGTCGACAATGGGGCCCCAGTACGACCACCATCCGTCGGCTGAGTCATAGTATCCGTCAGTTTCGTTAAAATCAGGCATGAAGAACATGTCGTTTGCGAGTTCTTTCTTCCAGTTGATCCAGGTATCGTTGTGGAAACCACCAGAAGAGAACGTGCTGATGAGAGGACGGCCTTTGACTTGGTAGTAGGCTGAACTTCCTTTGTAGGAGTCCCATATCCACTGGTAGTCGGATGGGCCATGGCACTGAGACTGTTAGCCAACATCAGCGGTAAGTCAGAAAGGACGTTTCACATACAGACTTGCCACCATGGTAGCAGGCATCGCCAGAAGCGTAGACATCCATGGAGATGTACAGCTTGAAGCCGACAGACTCGGCATATGGAAAGAGGTAGCTGAGAGCCTGAGAGACATAGTCGCGAGTAGCGTCACCAATGTTCAATGCGAAGCCATCAAGGCCCATAGACTTGGCATTGTCAATATCTTTATGCGCGTGCTCCTGGGTCACAGTTCCGACCTAATACGGCGAGCCGGTGTTAGTGGCATAATACGATAGGTAGATGGACAGAACACAGGCTTACCATATAATGAGCAAATACTGCCTTGGCACTGGCTGTAGCCAGAGTGCCAGAGATGGCCAGGAACTTGACTAGCCCTTTCATCATGAATGTGTAAGTTCAAGTGGTATTCTAGCTGTGAAGTGTTTGTACAAAGCGACTTGGTGCATCTACACGGAGTACATCATGTATTTATGTGCGATATGGTCTTCAAACTCTTCCATCTGGTATCTTGTGACTTGCTACCAGAATGAGCGGAATGATGTTACATAGAAAATGTCGGAAATGACGGAGGTCAATAAAGCCGATGCCTGCGTTCCTGCAGGAGCTGTCATGATGGCCCCATTACCCAACTCGGCATTTCAAAAAGCATCACCTGTATTTTCCAATGATTTAAGCTTTCGGTTATATGCCAAAGAGGTTGCTCGGTGGGCGAAGGATTGCTCTACCCTCAGAATCGTATAGCTTCAAACACTATGTTACCATTGAAGTCCTCACCACGGCTATCTCGGCAGTTTATGCGAGAAGGCCGGCTCTTCAAGGAAGGTGACAGTTAGAATCCTCCAGATTGGATAATCCTTACTTAATACGTGATAGGGAAAAAAGGTTGTCATGCTGAGATCTGCAAGGGACGAGATATGAGAGATAGAAATTAGCAAAGGCAAGTAATACCGAGATTCGAGAGTCACGTTACGACAAATATCACGGTTCATTTGCAGATCGCCTGAAATTAAGCACTCAGTGACAAAGCCTCTTCTAATATTTAAGTCTATCTCCAAGTCAAACGCTTGACGTAACAGAAACACGATATCACAGCCAGCCTATACAGAACCAAAGACCACCATTTCAAGCCCGAAATCAGTTGTATCTATCACATCGTGTGTACCTCAGGAATTGCGGTCCAGCGAGTACCGTACCTGCTCTTGCTACGCCAATGAGGTCCAAACCAGTAAAGAACAAAGGGAAAGGAAGTCATGACTCCCGAGATAATGCCAAAGAGGCTGAAAGTCCACGATCCACCCAGGTTGGTAAGCATGTCGAGGATGAAGACTGGTACAATGCCTGCGCAGGCCAATCGAAAACATGCCGCAGTGGTGAGTGCAGATAGAGTTCCAGCTGGTGGATATGCATCAAACAGATAGGAAATGAACGAGATGAGAACCATCGCGTTGCCCCAGACATATACTGCTGTACCAGAAATTGGAGCGAGGTAATGAATGCTGGGAGTCGCAGTAAACGCAACCCAGAACAGAGAACCAGCTACCAGGAACGCCCCGAACATGGCTGGAACAAGGCGCTTCTCAATATCTTCCATGTTACGCTTGGCTCGACTGGAGAGTAAGGCTTCAATCAAGGAAGAGGTAAGAAGTGCGAGCATCACTCCAACAATAGCGGAGATGAATGCCAGACCAGATTGTCTAACTCCGAAGCCATACGTGGCGCCCAAAGCAGCTGGTACAGAAATGAACCATTGGAATACAACTGCAAAGTTGAGGCCAAGATAGAGAGAGATCACCATGACGAGGGGCTCTGTGAAGAGCATTTTGACTGGTGTAAGAACGGTGATATGGGTCATCTCAGAAAGTGTCACACCGCTTTGGGCGCATGGCAGTCTGATACCGCTCTTGTTGTAGCGAATGCGGGTTCGTAGAATCTCTCGACCGTATGTTTCAGGCATGAAGGAGCCAAATGCAAGGGTTGCGGTGGCGAAGATGAGGGTAACCCATGAGAGCCAGGCGGGCCCTTTGGCTGCAAAGACAAAGCCGCCGATAATAGGACCTACAGTCACAAATGTCAGTTTTCTGATCACACTCAAGAGACAACTCAAAACATACCAGCAGCAGCCCCAAGATAAGAGGCAAGGGTCAAGAAGGAATAATATGTCACCGTCTTATTCGCAGACCAGACATCAGCGAAAGTACCTTCGATCAAGACCACGCAAGGACCGCCAAAGAGTCCAGCCAGGAAGCGAAAAGCCAACAGTGTCGAAATTTTGGTAGTAAGACCGATCACGATCACACAGAGGCAGAAAAGCGGGAAGCTGGTGAAGTAGATGGGTCGTCGGCCGTATCGCTCAGAGAGATGCGGAGTGTAGATTGGTGCGAAAAACACGCCAAAGAAGGGCATTGTGAAACCGAGAACGGCCACACGCTGTGAGACGCCAAATGCCTCTGGGATGACGCCGATGGCTGCTGTGTAAGTGGTTGTTCCGTACATGCTACTCAAGTCAGTATCATTCGCCGTTTTACGACATGGGTTACTTACATGACAAACACAAACAAGAATGCACAAGCCGACACGTAGACCTTCTTGAGAATTGACCAGCTCATAGGGCTATCAGGATCAGTGGGTGACAGGTTATGTCCTCCAGACCCAGCATTGGCCCTGATGCAAGGCTGATTTTCATCGTCAGGTGTATGTCGACCATCCATGTTTTCTGTGTGCGACGCCGCGTCAAAAGCTTGCATATTGGGTGTTGGTTCGAAGCTTGTCATGTTGGAAGTCATGTCGTATGTCGCTGTATGGTGGGCAGCGTCCATATTATTCGTATTGGTGATAGATGCTCTAAAGGTTGTAGATGAATCGGATTGAGTTGAAGTATGAGAGCGGTGTTGTTTGATGGATTGAGCAAACAGACGAAGGTCAATCGCTTATATACACCATTGCTTTGGACCCCAACATTGATGCTCTCATCATTTTTCCTCGAAGAAATGCGTAAAAGTTTACATAGCCCTGTCAGGAGGCGGAGCAACGCCAGTTTCATCATTCTTTTGAGATAAACAAAATGAAGTTGCCCAATGTCGATCAGAACCTGGGGTCAAACCGAATAAGAATTCATTTTCGCCAATGTTTAATTGAAGCTTTGTCCGCCCGATAATCAGAATTACTGAATGCAGTAAAGCTGTTGACTTGGCTCCCGCAGGGCTGAAAAGCTTAGCGCTGACACTGCAGTGAGGCTTGTTCTGCTTGCTGGGTTCGAGTGTCATAATCAGGATTGCCTAATTGAGTAAGCTGCCCAACTGTACAGGGAATCCTCAGCGCCCGAAAGGTACGCATTTGGGAAACATCCTGCGGATCGCGACGAGTTTGACACCAATAGTTGCCTTCTAGTTGAAACAGGAATTGGTTTAAGCACAGCGGGATGCTGTCGGGGCTTCTATCGCGACTAATGGCTGGCTACCCACTGTTGGCTATGATCTACAGCGCTCCAGTACCCGTACCTGTAGGGGTCTTCACCCGCTAGGCGGCTAGAAGGCCCTAGCGCTTCTGCTGACGGGTGTAACCATCACAATCAAAGATCGAGAAAGGGTCATGGCGTAAGTCTTAAGCAAATAGAGGGACCATTGCATGATTGAGGACAACAAGGTTTAATTCTAAAGTGAAATAATTACATGCTATCTGCTATGTACCCGTGGCCATCACCAACTCACAACCTCTAACAAGTCATCAAGCAAAGTAAGCAGAGAAAGTGAGCAGACTCAAGATAGCCACAACCATGGCAGGCCGGCCAGTGGGACAGCCCGATACGCCGTTCATTTCATCCTTCTTCGTGTCGCCCTTCTTTGTATCCGTCTCATTGGTCGAGTTCATAGAGTCGCCGTCAGATGTCAATTTTGCCTGGCCAAAGTTGGCGTCAAACTTCTCACACCAGAGACCAACGTAAGAGAAGTCTTTCGCTGTATAGCCAGCATCAAGCTTAACCATGATATCCGTCTTGGACGAGGTATCGCTGATGCGCTCTTTGTTGATACGGAAGCCGGATGAGAGGTCTTCAGTCTTGGATCCCCACCAGTAGAGAGCAGGTGCGGATGCGTCTTTGAGTTCGTAGTCGGTGATCTTGAGTTCAGTGTTGCTGACAACCTCGACTGTACCTCCAAGTCCAGCGTCCAGTGAGGATAGGGCACCAGAGTCGCCCATCTTTGCGGCCATGGCAGCGGAGGCAAAGAGAAGAGCGGCGAGCTTGAAAGCCATTGTGAAGAGAGGTGTATAGAATTGAGGTTTAAGGTAAATGTTGACTTTGCAGAAAGGTTGCAGTAAATGGAAGTAGATTGTGATGCGAGTTTGCTTGCTGATGAAGCGGGTTTCTTCGTACGGGCTCAATCTTCTTATACTGCCGTATTGCTTCACCTCGATTCTAGAACAGGCAATTCAGATGATAGAACAAATAAAACTCAGAAAGAACTATCTGCTTCGGTGTTTGAGGCTAATTGTTTTTTCACCGCAGGGCTTTGCCTAATTTTACCCATAAAATTAAGCTTGTTTCCATCCGCATTGCCCAAAAAGGAAATCCTGATTAGCGACGGTGGTCAACCCAGCCAGCGCCCGCACCTCCAAGCATAGCCTCGACGCCACGCCAGGGATAGCATCAGAGCGTTTGATCAATCAACAATGTTTCTCGTTTACCGCCTTGAGGTGTTAATTTCTCAGCCCCACGTCTAGCATTTATTTCTTGGAATCTAGTCAGCCACGGGTCTCGGATGGTAAGTTTGATCAATCATCAGTTACGATGGCTCCTTTGCACTGCCATGCTTTTGACAATATGGGCTTGTCTGTTAAGTATTTAGTTTCTGCATTCCTCTATGTTCATGTGCATTGTTAAACCATCCGCTACTCACTTTGACTTGCGCCTTTTAATCATTCTAAACATCCGAAAATGACTGATCCCGTGATTATCGATCGCTATACTGCTGCCAGAGTTTACTTTGGCAGCGTTGTTGGCTTGGTCTTCTTAGAATCACTCATTCCTTTCAGTATCTATGCCTTCCAAAGATACAACAGGTGTGAGGCTTCCATTTTTCCATGCTTGGGCTTCACTAATTCCCCAGATCGACGACAAGATCGAAATGTGTTGCACTGGAGCATTACTGTCTGGCTTCATAAACTACACAGCTTCCAGCTACCTCTCCCATATTTAGACTGGCACATCACCGATCTTGCGCGTTTCACGGCTTTTCTCGCACTTAACTTGGTCTTCAGCATACAATCCAACGAGTTCACGGCTGACTATACCCTGTACGGCTGGCTAGCAATTGCCAATGCTGGTCTCGCACTGCTGATGGCATCCCGAAACAATCTATTCGCGACCCTCCTACGTATTCCCAGCCCAGTCCTCCTTCAGTACCATCGCTGGATCGGCCTTGCAACAGTCTCTCATGCAACAGCCCATGTATCGTTTAACATCCAGCATTACATCGAGACAAAACAGGTTACCACCAGCTTTGGAAACCATCGAATCCAGGTAGGCTTGATGGCCTGGATCGCTCTAGCCATGCTATTTCTTACGGCCCTACCGATTGTGCGACGCCACTTCTTCGAAATATTCTACTACACACACGCTCTGTTCTTAGTTTTCGTCGTCGGGGCTTTGATCCATGCCTCGCATGGGCCGGAATTCATGCTTCCGGGGCTTTTGCTCTGGGGTATAGATCGTGCGATCCGATTTGCGAACAATTTTCGCACCGTCCAAGTGCAGAGGGTTGAGGCATTCGAGGGCAACGTAACAAAGTTCAAGGTCAAGGGTCTGAGGACTCGTACTCCCGGACAGGTTGTATGGCTTCAAATCCCAAAGGTGTCCTTTGTGGACTGGCATCCATTCACTGTCGCCAGTGCACCCAACGATCCTGAGAAGACTGCGACAATTGCCGTTCGAGGTCTTGGGGGTTTCACTAAGGCTGTACAGTATGCCGACTGCCGCGGCGATCTGAATCTGCACGGATACGTATCCTTGGACTCGAACAGTATGATGGCTCACCCGCTCAAGATGCGCCTTGATGGCCCTTACGGGGTTGGGTCAGTGTCTTGGGGCTTGCTGCCAGTGACTGTCCTCGTTGCCGGTGGCATTGGAATCACGCCAGGTATCAGCATAGCGTCTCACATCATCAGACAAACGGGTATTGAAGTAGGCAGTCATTCCATGTCTCATATTCATCTTCTTTGGGTCGTCAGAGATGTTCAGTATGTCCAGTGGTTCGCAGAAGAACTTACTGAACTTGTCAAGGCATGTGCAAAGCCAGATTCGCCAACAACTCTCGAAATATCGATATATATCACTGGGGGAAGGCGCGAGGCTCAGATGAGCGATTCGTCTCTCGAAATGCAGGTCATGAGCTCTCCGCAGCCTTGGTCTGTTCATTCGGGGCGACCAGATCTAAAGCAGTGGTTCAGGCAGATCAAGTCTAACAATATTGGCATGGATACTGCCGTGAGTTTATGCGGGCCAAGGCAACTTATCGAGCAAGGGAGAGCGGCTGCATGTGGTGTTTCTGAAAGAGAAGGACTCTTCTTTGTACAGGAGGAAGTGTTTGAGCTGTAGACTGTTGTTTGCGTTCTCTGTGTAGCTCCATACTCAATTGATCATGACATCCCAACAGGAAACACTCCTCTAAGGCAATATTCATCGCGCAGTCATCCATTCCCATCCTAAAGTCGTAAAAAATGTGTGGTTTAAACTGGTCTAAACTGTAGCCCTTCTTCAAGGTTGTCCTCACCCAGGTTTGCTGTGCGGCGAATCAAATGACAGCTATCGAGCCCCACTGGTTTATCTTATCACTGACACCTATTTTCCAGCGCCTGAAGTGCTGGCAGGGACGGGCGAAACAGCCGCCGAACCCTCAACACCAATGCCAAACCTAATCCGCCAACAAAAGCATATCACGATAGCTACAGAAATGACAAAAAGAACATTCGGAAGGCGATGGGATTGCTCCCGCCAGGGCTTGAACCTGAGACCTTCGCATTACCGGATACTCGGAATGAAGTATTAGTACGACGCTCTAACCAACTGAGCTACGGAAGCCGTCCGAATGCGTTGGAAGCGGAGATCCTCCAACGGCTCACGAATCTCCAACAGCTGAGATGAACACTTTCTGGTTGCTTTACGTATCTCTGTGGCGACCTACACTCATTCATGGGCTTCTGGGATAGGTTCTGTGACCATATTTGTGCAACTGCACCAGGTTCTCAAAGACTTACACCAAAATGGCACGGTCCGATTTCCGTAGATGCCAGCATCAATGTCCCAGTACAACCTCTCGACTTACATCTCGATTCGGCCGAAGCTCTCTTCCTTCACTATTGCAGAGATCTTGACTTATGTCAGTCAAGTTGCGGCTTCTCAGCTTACTGAGACATGATCTTGTCTATATCTCTGGGTCATGACCCAGTTAGAGCCATGAAACACTGCGACTGGTCGGACTGTATTAGTTCCAGAACCACTACTTGTCTGGGAAGGAACAGACGGAATTCAGTCTAAATCAAATTGGTTTCTATTCAATGCGGTCTCTTGCTTTGGCCAAGCATTGGTGCTAATATCTCTCTACCCATCTATCTACCTGTCAATCTAGATACCTCGGGCTCTCCCTCCTACTCCCCATCAAACACCAGGAGGCTCTGGATCGCCACTCTTCCAAACTCACTCTCCCATAATCTCTGTCGTCCACGATGAAAAGGAAACTCCGCAACAACCATGACGCTAATATCCTCTAGTCGTAGGCCAGCCTTGACCAGCAACTCGATCACCGCCACGAGTGTTTCTCCAGTTGCGAGAACATCGTCAACTACAACCACTCTATCACCTTTGCGAACTGCGTTGGCGTCCATTTCAAATCCACCCTTATCCGCCGCGCCGGGTATGTGAGATGAGATGTGCGACGAACGTCTCTGAGCAGACACCTTAGGTGGGGGGAGTTTATTCCCTTTTGCAATGGGAAACAGAGGAACTCCTAGTTCCGTTGCCAGAGGCAGGGCAAAGACATACCCACTTGCTTCGCTAGTAACTATAGCATCCACCTCATCCCACTTCCCTGAGAAATGAATCTTCAGGAGCGAAGTGCACAGCGCCAATCCTCCCTTCTGTTGGGCTATATTCAGCACGTAGCGATAGTTGATACCCTTGCGTGGGAAGTTCGGTACTGTTGGCACCATGCCAGCCAGGTTCAGAAGCTCTTGGCTCATGAACGGAACAAGACCTTGAATGGCAAATGAGATGACAGTATCATCTCCATTCGCTTCGTTGTCAAAGTTGAAGTTTGGTAAGTAGGTACTGTCCTCACACATGTACTCTCCGCAATGTGTTGTGTTGAAGTTGTTTCTGTCTCCCCATCTCCTCAAGTTTCGCGTGGCCTCGCTCGCCTGGACCCGAACGTTAATCAGCCTGGCATCTTGAACAAGGTGCGATAACGTTGTAACAGGAGCCTTTTCTGTCATACCCAGTGATGAACAGCACATCCGAAGCATCTTCTTCCAGCACTTCAATAAAGTGGTCATCTCCCACAGAAGGATCTGCCATCAGTTTCTTCTTGAAGAAATCATAGATAGCTTTCCGGTGCTGTTCTTTGTAGGGTCGATCATTAATCAGACGGTCAGGGTCGGCGCCTGTTGCTGCTGCGTATTTCCTCTTGGTCTCCTCGCTAATGCTGACCACCCGGCTACTGTATCCGTGAACTTTGAAGACGGTAGACCAGATATCGGCACAAAAGTCCTTTCCAGCACCGTGCTCGCCGGTGACAAGAATGACGAGCTTCTGTGACAGACCGATGAGTGTCAGAGGGCAAGTGTACGCGAGGATGTTCTTTGGGTCAAATGCTTTCTTGAGCTTGACCAATCGTCTGCGATTGGGACCAAAAGCTTTGGTAGCCAAGATACTATCTCGAGGGTCGGGTCCAAGATCTGCACTGTACACCCCTTTGCTCATCGGCAAGAGCTCGTTGACAACCCGGTATACCCAGCGAATAACAGCGTCAGCAATGGGTTTTCCATCATATTCTCTAGGCCAGATACCAGTAACCACGCACGCAAAATCCCAGTCTCTACAGCCAAAAGCAGTATCTTGGGGGGCAGCATGCCTCACGGCTTTACCACCATGCACAAAGTTTAAATAACAGTAGGGCGTAGGGCCGTCCCTTGTGGCAGATATCAAGACTTTCATGGTATTGGTGTTGGCTATGTCCTTCAGAAATACACACCGTTTGAAGGCAGAGGTCTTGCTGCCCCCGTGTCCTTGATGCATCTTGGATACATATGCCTCGGTGTCGAAGAGCTCAATAGCATCAACTATCTTCGGAGGCGGTCCCGTAGAGACGTCCTGTGAGACACCCTCCAAGGAACATGAGAAATTGGTCATTCCACAACAGATTTTACCACCTTCGCAGTACAGGTAAAAGTCTGAGGAAATACAGTCAGGATACTTGCTGGATACATCGCGACTCAAATTTCTCAGTGTCTCTTCAGCGTTATGGCCGTTTGGCCAGCCATAATCAGATACTGAGAACTTCTGAGATGTGCAAGACTTGAAAGTAACGCTGATGACAATACCGAAGTTCGTTCCGGCTCCCTTCAAGGCCCATAATAGTTCCTTATCACGTTGGTGGCGAACGGCATTCGGCGGTCGATGTTCTTCAGGAACGTAACCGATACAGAGAACTTGACCACTGATCACATCAACCATGACAGCGCCGGCGATAGCGTCACAGGCGAGGCCATAGTACCTAGCCAGATGTCCAATGCCACCTTGGAGCCAAAGCCCAGCGCCAACACTCGGTCGGGAGCCCAAAGGCACTGTCACGCCCACCGACATGGTCTCGCGAATGATGTCTCCCGTCTTACATCCAGCTTCGGCGACAACCCAACACTCCGTGTCCACATCTTGGGGTGGATTGACGACGTGGACTTTGTTGAAGGCACTCATGTCGACGGAAACTACATTAGGCCAAAGGCAATGATCACTGTGGCCACCACCCAGGATCGCCAAGTTAGTTTTGTTGGCCAGTGCCCATCGAACACATGATTGAACTTGGCTGATGTCCATTGGTCTAACGATAGCAGCAGGGCTGTTGGATAACGCCTGTCGATTCTTGACTTGGTAGGGCCTGTGTACCAACGGCACAAGAGCGGTCAAGTCAGGGAGCTTGTTGGCATGTCGGGTCATTGCTATCATGATTTCAGGAGAGCTAAATATAAGATGACCTGGGCGATCGTCGTCACGGCGCGCCAGTTGACGGCAGATGGCCCGCCACTGAGCCTGACGGGTCTCATATAATACTCCGGTCTCCAATCGGTATCCGGCGATGAAGCGAGTGAAACTGTTGATGGCTTCATCGTCGTCTTTGATAGCTACAGTACGATTGGGGAAACATAGCGAACGGTGACAGACCAGGTTGTGGAGATTGAGGGAGCCAAGGTGGTGAAAGATAATGACTATACCATCTAGCGGATCTTCTGGTAGCATCTCGATAGTATGTCTGATGAGCTCTTCCTTATGTTTTAGTCCATATAAGACATGGCAGAAGAGAATGATGTCGTACTTCTCGCCCGGGCAGCTCTGCGTTGTGAAGGAAGCTGGGCGAACGAGCGTCTGTTTCGAAGAGGGAAACGGTCTCTCCTTCTCCTGAGTCGATACCCATCTTTGGAGACTTTGAGTGTATTGAAAAGAGGGCTCTAGTGCGACGTACTTCGTGATCCTCTTCCTCAGACTGTCCGGCAGGTGCCCTAGAACACTCTTCGGACCTGGGCCAATCTCCAAGACTGATAACTCATCTCGTGTTGAGAGCGAGGCTATCAGTTCCGACAGTTGAGGAATTATGAAATTTCTCCGGTATGTCTGCTCATCGGAGGCCTCGGCAAAGAGCTTGAGCGAAACGTCGTACTCTCGGTCGTTCAATGGTTTCCGTGGCGCTTCATCGCCGACCTTTTTCAGGGCTTTCTTGAGAGCATTGAGAGTCGCCATTATGATGAAGTTACGATACGCTAGGTGGAGGAGGAATGAGTTCCGGATGCAGGAGATTCACAGATAATAACGGGTGAAAAGTTCTTACACGCATTATATATCTATTATCGTGTTCAAAACGAACGTCACTTTACGCACAAACTAATATCTTATGATGTTTTGTTTTTATCTTTGGTTATTGGGCCTATTTCAGTGAACAATGTTATTAGATGTATGGCAAACGTAGGGAACTTTCTAGCTGTGAATGCAGAGTTGGAAAAGCGCATTGTTGGATCCGAGCAAAGTGTCAGGCAGTATCCTCTAATAAGTATAGGGTATTTATAATTCTATAATATTTAAAGGAAAAATTAACCTTTAAGCTTAAAGCTAAGTTAAGAAAAGGTAATAGCTTAAGGTTTTTAATATTTTATAATAAGTTAAGAAAATTAAGGCCTTTTTTATTATTTTCTAAGTTATTAAAATTACTAAAAGTAAGGCTATTAT